TCTCTGATCAAGCAGGCAGCACATGATGGGGCTTATTGTGCTTACGTAGGTTGGAGTAAACAAGTGAGGGGCACGAGGCTTGGCAGCCAGCCAGGGCGCCATCTTGGCCGGCTCGACCGCGCCTGCCAAAATATATCCAGCATGATCAAGTTGGCTTTATCCCAGAGATGCAGGGATGGTTCAATATACATAAGTCAATAAATGTCATAAATCATATAAATGGGCTCAAAGACAAGAACCACATGGTCATCTCAATAGATGCAGAGAAGGCCTTTGACAAAATTCAACATGCTTTTATGTTTAAAGTCCTAGAGAAAATTGGACTGGAGGGAACATACCTCAACATAATTAAAGCCATATATAACAAACCCACAGCCAACATCATTCTAAATGGAGAAAAACTGGAAGCATTCCCATTGAAATCAGGAACCAGACAAGGCTGTCCACTGTCTCCACTTCTCTTTAACATAGTGCTTGAAACTCTTGCAAGAGCAATAAGACAAGAGAAGGAAACTAAAGGAGTAATAACTGGAAAAGAAGAAATCAAATTATCCCTTTTTGCAGATGATATGATATTCTATCTAAGAATGCCAAAAATTCCACCAGAAAACTCCTAGAAATTATTAACATGTTCAGTAAAGTGTCAGGTTACAAAATTAACCTACAAAAGTCTGTAGCTTTTCTATATACCAATAACAAGCAATCAGAGAAAGAGCACATGGAAACACTCCCATTCACAATAGCTGCAAAAAAAGTCTCAGAATAAACCTGACCAAAGATGTTAAAGACCTCTACAGTGAAAATTTTAAGTATTTAAAGAAAGAGATTGAGGAAGACATCAGAAGATGGAAGGACCTCCCATGCTCATGGATTGGAAAAATTAATATTGTGAAAATGACCATCCTACCAAAAGCCATTTATAGATTCAATGCAATGCCAATCAAAATCCCCATGACATTTTTCACAGAATTGGAAAAAAAACCATCCTAAGATTCATACGGAAGCACAAAAGACCTCATACAGCCAAAGCAACCCTGAGCACTAAGAGCAATGCCAGGGGGATTACTATA